GTGTGTCTCTTCAAAAAAAATTACTTTTCTTTGGATTGAAACCATGACAAGGATATTGCCTTAGAGGTTTCAGTGTGAATTTTAACCAGGATTATAAGAATCATGGAATAGTTTCTGTTTTTCTCCCTTTCTTTCCTTTCCCCCATCTTTCATTATTCCATTGTCCCTTCCCTTTGGCATTTATAAGCACTAGCATGTATCTGGAACTGTGTTAAATGCTAGGGATCCAGAAATGAAAATATACAGTCTTTGTTCTCAAGGGACTAAGTCTAGTTGATGAGAAAGAAGAATAAAAAAAAAAGTAATTATGGTATTGGTTGTGGAGTGGTCAGGAAAGTCTTCCTGAAGGAAGGTGATGGCTGAGCCACAAAGATGAATGAGAGATGACAAGGAGATGAAATTAATCTTATTTGGAATATTCATGGTTTTTTGGCTATGACACCTTTCTTTACACCAAAAAAAAAAAAAAAAAAAGACAGAATAGGAAACCCCAGGGCTCCATCCCTCCATCAGTGAGCTAGCAAAAACTGCCAGAATCAACTTTTACAGAACTCTGGAGTCTAATTGAAAATTTACAACAACCAGGGCAAAGCTTAATAAAAGAAGCAGGTGCATTGCAGCAAGAGAGTTTTCTGATGTTTTATTTTTTTAAATTTTGTTTTCTGATGTTTTAAATGATCTACTTACCCTGCTCCACATACCAGATTGAAGGTGGCCATGAAGACAGCAGGTGGAGCACCTAGTGCAGCTTGCCAAGTACCTGTGGGACCAATACAGAACTTATTCTCAAAGAACTGTGGTTGTGTATTTCCATCTGTCTGGTGACTCCCTGAAGGACTGGTGTACAAGGGCTTGCCTTTGTTTTGCCCAACACAGAGTGTTTCCAGGTCTGGGGTAGCTTTCCAGATGGCATTTGCCAGAAAGCACTTAAAAGAATTGGCCATAGCAGCCTGGGGAAAGGGCTAAGAGTCAGGACAAACAAGAGACGGATCAAAAAGGCTGGGAAGAGAGTGGGAAAGGAGGCGTGTGGGGGAAATGAGGGCTTTTTTTTTAAAAAAGATTTTATTTATTTACTTATTTGAGGCGGGAGGGGGGAGGAGGAGCAGAGAGGGACAAACAGACTCCACGCTGAGCACAGAGCCCAATGCAGAATTCCATCTCACGACCCTGATCATGACCTGAGTCGAAATCAAGAGTCCAGTGCTTAACCAACTGAGCTACGCAGGCATCCTGGAAATGAGGGCTTTTAAGAGCATGTGCCCAAGACTGGATTCATGCTCAGAAAAGGCCTAATCCTCGGAGACAATCCCAAACTTTCACCTCCCACTGACCTTCAGGTTCTGCACAAGCAGGAAGTAAAGTTGAAAGCAGTGTTGTAAACAGCTGGGCTAAGCATTGAAGAGGTGTCCCAACACAGAGGCAAATTTCCAAGAGTGGGGAGCTTTTAAGCTTCTGAAAAAAATATTTGGGGGCTTCAGGTGTTTATAGATACTCTGTCAATACACTAGCTGACCACTGAGCTAATGGAACACAGACTTCAGTGGCCATATATGATAAAAAAATTAGAAACTTTACAAAAATCATTTAGAAAAGTAACTAAAGCAACAACCTTAAACAAGCAGCAACAACAAACACAACAAACAAAAACTGAGTTAATTTTTGTATATGGGCTGAGGTAATAGTCTACCTTCATTCTTTTACATGTGGATATCCAGTTATATCAGAACAGTTTGTTGGAGACTATTGCCTCCCCATTGAATGGTTTTGGCACCTTGTGAAAAATCGATTGCATAGATGCATGGGTTTATTTCTGGACTCTCAATTCTATTGCATTGATCTGCTTGTCTTTATGCTAGTACCACTCTGTTTTGATCCTCTAACCTTGTGTAGTAAGTTTTGAAATCAGGAAGTGTGAATTCTCCAACTTTATTTTTCTTTTTAAAGATTATCTTGGCTATTATTAGAGTCCCTTGCCCCTGTTATTTTGAGATCAGCTTTTACATTTCTGCAAAAAGAAAAAGGCTACTTTTTTTATTAAGGATTTTATTTATTTATTTGACTGAGAAAACAAGTGGTGGGAGGGGGGCGGCAGGCAGAGGGAGAGGGAGAAGCAGACTTCCCACTGAGCAAGGAGCCCGATGTGGGACTCAATCTCAGGACCCTGAGATCATGACCTGACCTGAAAGCAGACTCTTAACCGACTGAGCCACCCAGGTGCCCTACTACTGGGGTTTTAATGGGGATTTCATAGAATCTGTGGATCACTTTGGAGAGTGTTGCCATCTTAATAATATCTTCCAATTCATTAGTACAAGATGTCTTTCTACTTATTAGGTTTCTTTTACTACTTTCAACAATGTTTTGTAATTTTCAGTGTGTAAGTCTTGTACCTCTTTGGTTAAATGTATTTCTTTTTTTTTTACTTTTATTTTATTATGTTATGTTAATCACCATACATTACATTATTAGTTTTTGATGTCATGTTCCATGATTCATTGTTTGCATATAACACCCAGTGCTCCATGCAGAACGTGCCCTCTTTAATATCCATCACCAGGCTAGCCCATCCCCCCACCCCCTCCCCTCTAGAACCCTCAGTTTGTTTCAGAGTCCATCGTCTCTCATGGTTTGTCTCCCCCTCCAATTTCTCCCCTTCATTTTTCCCTTCCTACTATCTTCTTCTTCTTTTTTTAACATATAATGTATTATTTGTTTCAGAGTTAAATGTATTTCTAAGTGTTTTAGTCTTTTGATGTTATTGAAAATGGACTTATTTTCTTCATTTTCTGGAAATGGGATTGCCAGTATACAGAAATACCACTAATATTTACATGTTGATCCTGTATGCTACTACTTTGCTGAGTTTATTAGGTTTAGTAACTTTCTTGTGGATTCTTTGGGAATTTTTATGTATAGGATCACGCCTTTCCAATTTGGATGTCTTTTATTCCTTTTCTTGACTAATTGCTCTAGCTAGAAGTTCTAGGACAATGTTGAGCAGCAGTGGTGAAAGTAGCATTCTTGTCTGCTCCTGATCTTAGTGGGGGACATTTGAGTCTTTCACCCTTGAGTATAATGTTAGCTGTTGGGTTTTCATAAATGCCTGTTTCAGGTTGAGGAAGTTTCTTTCTGTTTTGCTTTTTGAGATATTTTTCTAATGAAAGTGTGTTGCACTTTTTTGGATTTTTTTTTTATCTGTTAGATGATCACATGGGTTTTTCCATTCATCCTAGTAATGTGGTGTATTATATTGATTGATTTTCATTTATTGAGCCACTTCTGTTTTCCTGAGAAAAATCCCATCTGGGGGATTGAACTTTTTTAAACATTATATGATCTATCCTTTTTTATATTTTAACAATTTTGTTCTTAAATCTTTGTCTGATATTTGGAGAGCAACTCTAGCTCTTAGTTGGTTACTGTTGGCATGGAATAGCCTTTTCCATCCTTTTACTTTTAACCAGTGTGCATCTTTGAATTTAAAATGAATCTCTCAGGGACAACATATATTTGGATCATGCTTTTTAAAAAATTATCTATTCTGTCCATTTCTGCCTGTTAATTGTAATCTTTTTACATTTAATATAATTACTGATAAGGAAGGACTTTGGCATTTTGCCATTTGTTTTCTAAAATGTCTTATATTGGGGTGCCTGGCTGGCACATTCAGTTAAGGGTCTGATTCTTGATTTCGGCTGAGGTCATGATCTCAGGTTCAGGAGATCGAGCTCCATGGCTGACTCTGTGCTCAGCGGGGAGTCTGCTTGAGATTCTCTCTCTCCCTCTCCTGCTGCCCCTCCAACTCACTCTCTCTCTCAAATAAATAAATTTTAAAGAAAAAAATGTCTTATATCTCCCTCCACCCCAATTCCTCTACTACTGCCTTCTTTTATGTTTCATTGATTCCTTTTTTGTAACAATTTCTATTTCCTTCTCAGCATATCTTTTAGTTATTGTCTTAGTGTTTGTTCTGGGGGTTACAATTAACATGTTAATGTATAACAGTATATTTTAGATTAATACAAACTTAATTTCAAATGGTATACAAAACCTTTCATTCTATACAGTTTACATTGTTACTGCCACAAATCACATCTTTATACCTTGTATACCAATGAAGACAGACTTGTATTATTTTATGTAGTCATCCTTTAAATCATATATTGAAAAAAGAGGAATTGCAAAATGCATGAATACTATTTTTTGTATTCATCTCTGTAGTTACCTTTAGCGTGTGCTTTATTTCTTCGTGTAGATTCCAGTTATTGTTTAGTGAAGCTTAAAGCACTTCTTCAGCATTTCTTATAGGGAAAACCCAGATTATGAGAGGAACATTTACTCTAAAAGAAGAAGAGAGACACCCTCTGAGAATAGCTGATCAAGTAAACATGAGAGTGAATTTGTAAGGAGAGTTCAGGGCATTCATGGCTCAATCACTGAATTTGCTTGATGACAGGGACTCCAAGTTCATTTGTTCAGGATGACAAGGGAAGTGTATAGACAGTGTGACTGTACTGAAGGACTGAAGTAGTACCTAAGAGTTATGGGAGGCAGAACTGAGATAAGAGCAGAACTGCACCCACCTACGCAACTCTATCACCCAACTAGGTATTGGGTGGGTGTTGATTGTCCTTCTGAAGTTCTTAGAAACAAATTCTTCCATAGGCTCACTGAAGTACCCAGTGCAGCCATCCAGCCTATTCGCCCTGCTCGGGGCACTCTGCAGAGGGAGGTGGATCCCAGCAGGCCTTGCGGGGTGACTCAGAGGTCGTCTCTGTGACGTGTAACACCCTCGCCTGGTAGGGGTTGGTGTGGTGAGGGAATCTGCTTTACTCTTTGTGAGGAAAGCAAGGTAGAGAGGAAAGAGGCTGAGGAGGAGGGCCGGACTGGAAAGAGACTTTAGTGGGACTGAGTGGGGAGGTGAGCGGTGGACTTTACTGGTGGCAGCAGGGGCCGTATCATCGCCTGTGAGGCGGTCGGTTAACTAGGCCGCAGCAGCCATGGCGGTTGACTTTGGGGACCACGCCAGCGGGTTCCGCCACACGGAGGTGATCAGGTTCATCAACAACGAAGTCCTCATGAACGGCGGCGGCCCAGATTTCTACGTGGCCTTCCGCTCACGGCCCTGGAATGAGGTGGAGGACCAGCTTCAGACCGTCGTGGTCGACCCTCAGGTGCCGCGCACCATTAAGAGAGCCTGTGCCTGGAGCGCGCTGGCCTTGAGCGTGCGTGTGGCTGCGAGGCAGCGAGAGCAGCAGGCGCACCGCCTCCGGCGGCTGCAGGAGCAGGTGGAGGAGCGCGAGACGGCTGCCTGGGCCCTGGCCTCCGAGCTGCAGCGGCTGCGTGGGGATCGAGAGGAAGTGGCCACGCAGTTGCGCTTCACGCAGGTCGCCCTGCAGCAGGCGCTGATCGAGTGTGATGTGCTTCGCGGGCGGCTGCTCCACGTGGATAGGTCGGCCCATATCATCCCGCTGGCCCATGAAATACTGCCTAGGCCTCGAGCCGAGCAGCATGGGACTATAGCCTGGCCCCTGAATGCTGAGCAGCAGAGAGATGTGGTTGCTATGGGGTTTCCTGGTAGGTTGTATCTCGAGGCCCAGGTGCCAGCCCCGGCAGCTGTTCTTTACATGCCAGGTCCCCCAAGTCCCTGGGCTCAGGCCATACAACCCCCTCTGCCAGCGCCGGTGCCATACTCACTTCCATTCCAAGCACCACTCCCAGTAGGAATCCCTTTCTTGCCAGCTCTGCCACCAGCAGTAGTCATGGATGCAGAAGCTGCAGTAGTCCCACTTCAGATGGTTCCTCTGGGGAGCTGCCCACCTGGTCCATGTGCTGCAGTGGGCTTCCGGGAGGAGGGGGCCCCACCGTGGGACCAAAGGAGTTACAGCCAGGAGGGAGGTCCTGAGATCCTCCAGAATACAGTCCCCCTGGGGAATATCAGAAACCTTAGCCAGGAAGGTCTAGGGAAGCCTCAGGGAATGGTCCCCCTAGGGGATAGCTGGAGCCACAGCCAAGAAGAAGGTCCAAAGACGGCCCAGGGGATGGTTCCTCTTGGGGACAGCTTGGACCTCAGCCAGGGAGCAGATCAAGGGACACCCCAGGGGATGGTCTCCCTTGGGGACAGCTGGAGCCAGATCCAGAAAGAAGGTCCAGAGAAGGTCCAGGGGATGGTCCCCCTTGGGGAGAGCTGGAGCCTCAGCCAGAAAGAAGGTCCAGAGAAAGCCCAGGGGATGGTCCTCTCTGAGGATAGCTGGGGCCAGAGTCAGAAAGAAGGTTTAGAGAGGCCCCAGGGGATGATCCCCCCTAGGGAGAGCTGGAGCCTCAGCCAGGAAGATTCAGAGAGATTCCAGGAGGTGGTTACCCTTGGTGCCAGTCAGGAAGAAGATCCAGAGACTCCCCAGGAGGTGGTACCCCTGAGGGCCAGTGAGAGCCACAGCCAGGAAGAATTTCCAAAAAGACCCCAAGGGATGGCCCCCCTTGGTGCCAGTAGGAGCA